ATTTGACCCTGAGGACGCCTGGTCACTAGACTCTGGGGAAGTAGATCCTTGCTGTACGCCAGCAGTTAGGGGGTTGCTCTCACACACACCCACTTGTGATCTAACTGCCTTCATGGAAGCCAACCCTATAGCCCCAAAGAGGGATCCTCTGCCCCAGCCATGAAAACAGATTACATATCTGGTGTTGTTGTTGTTGTTGTTGTTGTTGTTGTTGTTGCTAGGTGCCATCTCTTTGGTTCCCACTCCCAGCGTCCGTGTGCACAAGAGAATGAAACACGGCCTGGTCCTGCTCCCTCCTCCATCCTCACACTTGTTCCTCTGCTGAGCCCACTTCAGCTCGGCTGAAACCTGTTCATTTTGGGTGACCCTGCTGACATCAGACACACCAGTGACATGGGTTCCAGCATCATAGCAACACGCAAGCCACCACAGTCCAACAGCCTGACAGACAAGGGGTGGAGATTCGACCTCTAGGTATACATTAATGGACCGTGAGAAGGAATGAGATGGATTCATTTGTAAGAATAAACTCTCTCCTCTGCGCCTCCTTTGGGGAACCTTACAGGCTTCCACTTCGTGGGACTGGAAGTGACCTCTCACCACATTCGGGAAAGGCATGGTGTCTATTCCTTGGTGTCTGCACAATCCACTGCTTTGTCCCAGCTCTCGTCAGATGAGCAATGCCGAGCAGAGGCCCAGCTTTGTGCTTCCTCCTTGACCGCGGCCCAACAAGCTTGCACACCCCACCTCCCGTCTGATTTCCCTGATCAGCCCCCAGAGGGAAAAGTGCATTCTTGTTTTATGTTTGGGTTTTAGACATCGTTTTGTAGGAGGAGGCTGCAAAATCTACTAAAGAGCACCAATTTGTTGTAAGGAAACAGCCAAGGTTAAGCAGACTTGTGTGCATTTGTGGAAGACCCAAGGAGAATTGATGGCTTTGAACGATGGTATTGGTGAAGAATACTAACTAAGCTGTGGACTGCCAGAAGAATAAACAAACCTACTTGGCAGATGTAAGGCCAGAGTGCTTCTTAGATGGGAGGATGGTGAGAATTCATTTCAGGTGCATTGAGCGGGTTAAGAAGGGACCAGTACGGTAGAGGGTCAGTGAACAGGGGGTCATTGTAGTGGGAAAATCCATGTTGAAAAAGAAGCCACAACATGACACCATGCAGTGGGGACAGGAAGCATTCGTGTAAAGCAATAGCTCTCAACCTTCCTAATGCCACAACCCTTTAATACAGTTCCTCATGTTGTGGTGACCCCCCAACCATAACATTATTTTCATAACTGTAATTTTGCTACTGTTAGGAATCGAGTGACCCCTGTGAAAGGGTTGTTTGACCCCCAAAGGGGTCGCAACCCACAGGTTGAGAACTTTACACTGTAAAGTATTGCTCCAAGTTCATGTTCTATTTAATGGCATGCTTGTATAAAGCCAACATATCACAATTATCCTGGTTTCAAACTAGACCAAAAGATAATATATGAATATTTCCCTCGAATACAGCATTCTAATGTTCTTCTCTTTGTCTCTGCACTGCCATAAGTCTCTGTTTACCGAGCCCCTGGACTCAAGCACCCTCTGTCCACACTGCTGGAGACAGTTAGCTCAAGCTCAAGCAAAGGACAGGAGCTGGCCCTGTGCCATCCAGAGTCACAGGGAGACCCGGAGCCCTTGTCTGAGACCTAAGGATAGCTGGAAACCAATCAACTGGGTTCTAATCCCAATTGGTTTCTAGTCTCAAATCTGTGTATCTGCTTTGTTCTTGATTACTGGCCTTTGCCTCATACCTCTAACATATTACCACTCATTAAGACAAAAAAAAACCCCAATTGATCCAATCAATTGGTCTAGTAATCTGTTTAGAGATTCTGATAGACCTCCTAGCTCGTCACTCAAACTCCAGTTTAGAAGCTCACAAGCAGCCAGTCAAGGCACAACAACTGGTTTCTACTCACCTGGGGCAATGGAGGAAGCACGAGAATCGGGGATATGAGGCAGCTGTGGACAATATGTCCACAATATACAGGCAGTGGTCTCCAAGAACAACAGCCTCCTTTGCCATGAGAACAGATAAAGTAGATAGTATCTGGCTCCCATGACATTAGGTAAATCTGTTGCAGAAGACCCCTTTAGAATATTGAAAAGCAAGGATGTTACTGTGAGGTCTAAGGTTTGCCTGACCCAAGCCATGGTGTTTTCCATTACCTCATATGTATGTGAAAGTTGGACATCGTATGGGGAAGACTACAGAAGAATGGATGCATTTAATGTGTGGTGCTGGAGAAGAACATTGAAAGCGCCATGGACCGCTGGAAGAACAAGCCGGTCTGTCTTGGAAGTAGTACCGCCAGGGTGCGCCTTAGAGGCAAGGATGGTGAAACTTTGTCTTATGTACTTTGGCTCTGTTGTAAGGAGAGACCAGTCCCTGAAGGACGTCATTTGTGATAAAGTGGAGGGGTAGTGAAAGGAGGAAGACCCTCAGCGAGAGGGGCTGACTCAGGCTTAGGAACAAGTATCAGGATGACGCAGGACCATGCGGTGTTTTGTTTGGCTGTACATTGGGTCGCTGTGGATCAGAACCAACTTGATGGCACCTAACAACAACAATTATTAATGAGCATTTTGATCAAAGATTCCTGATCAAAGGAGGAAGGACACAGAACAGAATGTGACTTCTCATGGATTCTAGACTTCCTGGAGTCCTGGAGGCTGGATGAAACCCTGAAACAACTGCTCTGAGACCATCTTGAAACCTTAAACCAAAACTATCCCCCAGTCTTCTTAGAACCACTCATTTAGGTTAACTAGTAAATAATGTCTCCCTTGAACGTTATGCTCTTTTAAAACCTACCTATATGGCACCAAATTGTTGAGGACAACCCGAAACATTACACAGGAAACTTCAGGGCCAATGAGTTTAGGTTCATAGGGGACAACTCAGAAAAGGGGGTTGAGCGTAGGTGCCCAAGAAGATAATCAATGTCACTGAATTGTATATGTAGAAACAGCTGAATTTTTATGTGCTCCGCTGGGTATGTTAGCAACAAAAATAATAACACATTAAGAATTATGTATTTTTAAAGGTTATCATAGAGTCCGTTATGATTCAGGGCCACTTCACATGTGTCAGGGCAGAACTGTGTGGTATGAGGTTCTCACTGGCTGAGTTTTGAGAAGTAGATCACCAAGCTTTCTCCCAAGGCTCTTCTAGGTGGACTCCAACCCCCAGCCTTCCAGTTAGCAGCCCAGCAGGTTATCTCTCTGGAGCCCCTTGCTTAGACTCCTCAGAAACAGGTTTTAGTATCCTTCACATTCATCAATTCTTAAACAAGACTCTGAAGAACATGAGTTTTTATACCCAACTGTAGGTAAGGGAATGAAACTCAAACACTGAGAATGAACTTTGAGTCACACAGGTTACTTATTGATGGCTGTGTTAGGGTTCAAAGTCACTGAATGCTGTAGGGATGCCAGGAACCAACCTCTGATGGGAACAGGGATAGGGAAGAGCCTCAGCCTATAGAGGCAGTGAAGGAGGAAACTACAGGCTATCTGACTCTATACAGGCCATTGGAGAATAGTGGCCACCTCTGCCCAGTATCAGATGCCTGATTTCTTCCCAGGACAGAGAACCAGAACAGAACATAAAAACCACTCAGGAGAGATAGGGACATATGTCCTATTACCAGGGCAGTAGGAGCGGCACCCACTCCTGCTCTTTGTAGATCTCGGAAGTGAGATCTGGCCTACAACCCATAAGTCATAGGTTTCCCTTGATGGCCTCTTGTGTGACTTAAGTCATCAACTCCTTCCCAGACGTCTCCAAAGATGTAGCTAAGCAGGTCTCATACCTCCAACTTCTGACTCTCCATCTGCATGTAACCTCTCACTCACTCTCATTTCACTGCAGACATGGTGCTGGTTTAAATATCAGCGCAATACCAAGCGACATTCATGCAGTGTACCTACGGCCACAACTCTTAAATGTATTGAATCTGATTTCTAGAAGGATCTTAGTGAGCCTTGCTTTCATAAGTGCAGTTATGCATAATTGCCACAGGCCCATCTTCTTGCTTTCACTCTCCCATCCTGGCACCTTCTGCTTATTCTCTGGGTCAGGCCGATGCGTTACAAAGGCACTTCAGAGACTTCGTGGAAATGTAGAGTTGGAAGATAATGAAATGTCTCTGTAAACTTTCTGAAGCCTCCCCATGTACATTCAAACTTACTGCTGTCAAGTCGGCTCCAAGCAACAAGACCCCACAGCACAGGGCAGAACAGCCCATAGAGTTCCCAAGTCCTTCGTCCTTGCAGAGGCAGACTGCTCCACTTTGGTTTCCCACAGAGTAGCCGGGGGTTCCAGCCACTGGCCTTCCAGGGAACAGCCAACTGCTTACCTAGCAGTGTAACCTCCTTCTGTTTACACTGGTTGACATGGATGTCTATCCTCATTATGTATGTGGCCAGTTCTACACTTCAGACTCAACTTTCTAGTGCACGGAGTCCTTCCTGGGCCTCTGGAAGACCCACTGGATATAGTGTCAGGAGCCTGGGGTGTCCTTGAGAACTTTCTCCCCAAGGGAAGGGCAGAGCCTTCAGACCCCGCTCTGCATGGAATAGGCCAAGGAACTCCTTCCTCACGAAAACCTCTGGTGCTTCCATCATGACTAGATTCTCTTGACCACAGGTTGCTCATTCCTTACCAACTGGATGCCAATGCCCATCCTCGTTCTCCTGACCTTGGCATTGGCTACTTTCGACTGCTCCCCCCGCCATCTCCCTACACACATCAAAGGGCGTCCCAAGAACCAGCTGCTGGGACAACAGTCCCTTCTCCAGCACCTTACCACTTCCAACAGGGGGTCTCCGCTTCCCCAGTGCATTGCCCCAACACTCAACAAGGACCTACCAAGTGCCCTCCACTCATGCCCAGCACTCTGCCTCATTCTGGATACAGTGGTGACTGAAGGTTACCTGCCACCCTTCTGCTCACCTGTCTGCCCAACAATGGAGGCGCTCAGTCTGTGGGGGATTCTCGAGGGCACCTTCAAGGTCATGTGGATCTGGTAATACCTGAGGAAAGAGCAGAGAAAAGGCAGCTGAAGACGGGGATTCCTGTGGCTGGCTTCTTATGCGAATGCCTGGAATTGATCCCAAAGGGCACAGTGCCACCCTAGAAGTTCCTAGACAGCACAGTCCATCACCTGGAAGCAAAGCAGGAGAGGGAGGCCATGCGGCGAAGCTGGAGGCAAGAAGCTCCGTTGCACTGAGGTCTAAGGGGAGGCTGAGCAAGGCTGATGGACATGGGGCGAGAGAGAAAAGACGGGGGGGTGGGAGATACAGGCATGTGAACAGGCACACCAGTGAGCGTGTGCTTTGCTTTCTTAGTCAGAAAAATCCCCTGTTGTGGGCACATAGACCAAAAAATTTAAACCCACAAAAACTCAAACCGGGTTCCCTTAGATCAGCGGTTCTCAACCAGTGGGCCATGACTCCTTTGGGAGTTGAACAACCCTTTCACAGGTGTCACCCAATTCATAACTGTAGCAAAATTACAGTGATGAAGTAGCAATGAAATTAATTTTATGGTTGGGGTGTCACCACAACATGAAGAACTGTATTAAAGGGTGGCAGCCTTTGGAAGGCGGAGAACCACTGTCTCAGATGATTCTGCCTCGTGTCTGCCCCGTGGGTCACAGAGCCCAGCTGTGCTCCACAGAGCTTCCTCGGCATTATCTCAATGGAAGCGGGTCCTAAACGGTACAACTGGGTCGACTGGAACCACCAACTTTTAGGTAGCAAATTGTTGGTGTCAGCCAGGGATGCAGTTTCAGGCTTGTAAATGGTTAAAAATCAAGGTGAGACAGAAGCGAAGGGGTGTGAAAAAGTCAGTGTCCGGACCACACAGCGCAGAGCTGGCTGTTCTGCAGCGCTGTGTTCTCTCAGTGGGTTCTGCTGCTGGCAGCCCCGTGTCTGTTTCCATGTTTGTGTGATGGTCAGCGCAGTGTCACCGACTGGGCTCTCAGACTGGAGCAGTCGCCTGAGTGACGCCACTGGGAGATGCGTGACTTTGAGCCCCGGCTGGCCTTCCTTCTCGGACTTGTTTCTGTGAAGCGCAGACTTTCTGGGGGGTCTGTTCTGATTCCAAGGGAGAAAGATGACCCTGTTTTCTCCCAGAACGATGTACAGTCTCAGAAACCCAGAATCTCAGAACTCTCAGTGTGGACTCGTGTCAGTGGGGTTTCCGAGGGGGAAATGAACACTGGTGGCACTGTGGGCTGGGCACTGAGCTGGTAACTTCAAGATCCGTGGTCCCGCTCCACTGGAGAAAGATGAGGCTGTCTGCATCTGTACAGATTTAGGGGCTCAGACACCCTATGTGGGGGCTCTACTGTCTCCTTCGGGTTGCTAGAACTGATTTGATTGCAGTGGGTTTGGGGCTGAATTCCACATTCAGCAAGTATCTTACTTTTATTGTTTTGAATTTGTTGGTGTTTGTTTGTGTTTTTCAAAGAAGACAGAAATACTGTGTTTTTGATGAAAACATCTTTGAATTTAAAAAGCTGGCTCAGAAATTAATGACAGCAACAACAACCTGGGCCCCAAACCAAACCCTCCCTCTGCCCCCAGGACGATTCTGAGGCTCAGAACATGACCAAGAGCACCCCGAGTGAACAGAAGAAAAGAGGTCTGCAGGCAGATCCCCACAGCTGCGATCGGCACGTTCTGGTTTATGCAAATGCAAAGCTTTACCTTTAGTGTTTTCTACACCTTCTGCAGGCAAGGACAGGACAATAAGGACCTGGATGGGCCAGTCCTTCCTTCCTCCAAGTCAAGGGGTGCAGCCTCCCTGAAGGCTGCTGTCATCACCAAATGACTAGTTTGAAAATGACTGTGTTGCTGTCAGGTGCCTTAAAGTTCACTCTGACTCCTTGCAAGTCTACTTACAGCAGCATCTTCAGACTCCCTGGTATTCTTGAGCCCACTGTTGCAGCCTCTGTTGTTTGAACATGGGGGGTGGGGTGGAGGGTGTCATGGACTGCCTGACTGTAGGAGCTCTGGTGGCAGAGTGTGTGACGTGACCTCAAGGCCAGCAGTTTAAACTCACCGGCTGCTCTGTGGGAGAAGTGAGAGGTTTTCTGCTCCCATAAAGATGTACAGTCTCAGAAACCCAAAGGTAAAGCTCTACACTGGCTTGCAGGGTCCCTCTGAGTCAGAAAAACAAAGCATTTGAGTTATGGAGCAACAAGGAGCACTGGAAACACTACGGAGGGACAGAAGAACAACCAAGTGTTAGAAGAACGACAGCCAGAGCGCTCGTTAGAAGCAAGGGTGGGGAGATTTCATCTCACATACTTTGGTCCCTGGAAAAGGGCTCCATGTTGGGAGATGTCAGACAGTATAAGACATGAAGAAAATAATAACAATTTATAAATTATCAAGGATTTGTGATGGAGGAAGGGTGGGGGAGGGAGGAGAAAAAAAGGAGGCGCTGATACCAAGGGCTCAAATAAAAAGAAAATGTTTTGAGAACGATGATGGCAACAAATATACAAATGGGCTTGATACAATGGATGGATGGATGGATTGCGATAAGAGTTGCACAAGCCCCCGATAAAATGATTGAAGAAAAAGAAAAGGGTTTCATGTTCATGAAAGCAACAGGGCAGCCGAAATGCGGAAGACCCTGAACAAGGAGTTGACCCGTGGCTGCAACAAGGGGGTCACCAGAACAAACATCTTGAGGATGATCGTGTACAGAGTGGCAGGGAGTCCGAACCAAATGGACAGCACCCACCTGCAGCAACGGGAGTTTGAGTGGGCTCAGTGGTGGTGAGATGCTGTTTTGTTTTGTTGTAATCTTTATTTTAGGGAGCCCTGGGGCCACTGTGGATTAGTCATTGGGCTGCTAACCGCAAGGCCAGCCGTTCAAACATACCAGGAACTACATAAGAGAAGAATGAGGCTGTCTGGTTAAAGATTGACGTGCAGGTCTCTGTTTGTCTAAGTCACTCTGAGTCTGACGGTAGGTTTATACTCTGTGGGGTTAGATCGGTTCAGCGTCTTTGTGGCAGAGCCTGTACCAGGGTCTGGAAGATACATCACCGTGATTGAGCCCCCATCAATCCTCAGTGAAAGGACACCATCGACTGTCCACTGACGAAGACGTGGGGCCATAGAGAGATGGGTGTTCTTAGAAGACTTCTGGCTTCAGAACCACAAGCCAGGAAGCTTACCCAGATGAACACAACAGAGACGCACGTCCGGACAGCCTTCAGAGAGACGGGGGCGTTGATAAAGAATGCTGCAATCAAGTGAGTCCCACTTTGCTGGTTTATTTCCTGGCACACACACATAGGATGCTGACATGATCGGCAGTTGATGAAGGGTATGACAGCATCCCAGAAAGGCAGGAAACACTGAGAGGTGAAGGGTGAAGATGTGACACCAAGACACCCAGTAGACTTTCTGGGGACCAACAAACTGGCTGGGTGCAGTGTTGTTACAAACCTCGGATTTGTAACACACACAGTTAACTCTGAAGTAAAACAAAGCCAAGCTCAGTAACAAGAGGTCTGCCTGCATAATTGCAGAGAGGGATGGACACTCCATTGTCCGGCAGCCTCGCACTGCAGTCACATCACATTGCTCTGTCTTACTGTGGTCGGATGACCTTATATACATCAGAATACAAGGCTGCGTGTTCCTTTGCATCTTTATGATCACTGGTATGTTTAAACCCATGGTGATGGCTACCGGGACAGTGGCTTCCAACCTAAGATGTTCACCTTCCAATGCTACGCTTGGCAACATCCCATTGTGATCCGTGAGACTTGCAGGGGCTAATTTCCAACAACAGCCCACCAGTCCTTTCTCTCCTGTCTTTCTTAATCTACCAGCTCTACTAACACCTGCCCACCACACATGATGCTGCAGGGATACGAAGTACCAAGGACACAGTCCCCAGCAGCGACACCAACATGGCAGCCACTGCTGTACAACCAGCAGGCAGGCAGGGACTGGGGCTGTGAATCCGAAACCCTTTACAGTCAATTCCAAACCCCTGTCTGAAGTCTTCTTCCATCAAATCACTTGGCGTCCCTGCATCCCACTCCAGGGATCAGATGGCTTCTAGGCATGTTTGGAATTCTGTTTCAACTGGGGCAACCCATATGGGCTCACACCCCTTCTGGGAGTCTCTTTCCGCTCCAGGTGATCACATTTCCACAAACCTCAGGTTCTTTCCTGGTCTGCAGGATACTGTTGGAGCCTTATGGCAAATCTCTGGTGTACATACTGGCTTCCGTCTTAAAAGATGAAAGCAAGCACCTAGAGATAATAGGCTATGGCCCTGATCACATACTCGGTGGTCAGCAGAGCAGGGGACATCCAGGCCACCTCGGATACTTTGAAAGCTGGACTGCCTGTAGTCGTCACACAGCTCCATCTGGATGAGCTCTTTAGGGCATTGCACAGAGAAAGAAGGGGTAATGCGCCTGTGCTCTGGACAAATGGACCAGGGGTAGGGGAGATTTGAGAAGAGTTCTGATCAGAATTAACAAACGAAGCTTCTCCCATGCCCTCCACCTCTGGGTCCTCACACACTGTGGCCTGGCCAAGCCACCTGTGGAATGAGGAAACAGGAAAAACTAGCAGAAGATAGCTTGACAGGAAACCCAGGTAAAACATGAGAGCCAAGTAAAAAAGTGGTCAAACAAAACAAAACAGAACAACACCCCTGCTGGGCCACAGATGCAAAGTATGGAAAACCTGTGTCCCAAGGTGATCCTTGGCTTTCCCTGGCTAAAACATATACCCCTTGATGGCCATGAACCCGCTCCTACCCCTACATCACCCACAGGGACATTAATCAGCTCATACAGATAGGTATAGCTTCTGTGTTAGAAAGCATATAAAAATGAAAATTATCTTCAGTTGTGAGAACTTAATCTGAGGTTGGTCCCACCAAGTTCCTTGCTCAAAATAAAAGCTACTCTTAACCTTCCTCAAGGAACTCTGGTGGCATAGTGGCTTCATGCTGGGCTGCTGACTACACGTTTCATCATTCAAGC